CAGAGCTGGAAGGGACCCTGCGGATCATTGAGTCTAGCCCCCATCAGGGAGGCACAGTGAGGAATTGAACTCTCAACCTTTGGTTCTGCAGCTAGATGCCCAAACCACTGAGCTATCTAATCTTAGAACTGCAGAACTGGACGACCCTATAGAGATAATTAAGTCCAGCTCCTGTCAAGGAGCCCCAGTGGGGATTCCAACTCCAAACCTCTGGCTTTGCGGCCAAATACTTAAACCACTGAGTGATCCAGCAGTTAGTAGGAGAAAGACAAGGTATAAATAACACAGATGAATCAGTAAATAACACTTGCTCTGATCCACTGTGCATCTGTGTTTGTGTGCAGCCCCAGTGGGGATTCCAACTCCAAACTTCTGGCTTTGCAGCAAAGTACTTAAACCACTGAGTGATCCAGCAGTTCAGTACAAAGAGAGGGTTTCTTTGGCCTCAGATACTACTACTGCACAGTTAATGCAAGAAACATAGCTCTGTGAAGCAATAGGAAACTGTCATAAAATATATTCGTGAAGGCTTTCACGGCTGGGATTTAATGGTTGTTGTGGGTTTTTCGGGCTCTTTGGCCGTGTTCTGAAGGTTGTTCTTCCTAATGTTTCGCCAGTCTCTGTGGCCAGCATCTTCAGTGGACATCACTCTGTGCTGTGCTCTGTCATAAAATACATTCTGTACATAGGATGAGGTATAGAATTCTTAGAAAGAATACAAACTGGCTCTCTGCCTGGCAAGTCAAAGCAGATTAAAGGATTTGTGATGCTAAAACAAGTGTGTGTGTCTGTGTGTGTGTGAGTGAGTGAGTGAGAGAGTCCAGAAGATACTTGCAGCAAATAATCTAGCACTGGTTCCCATATGTTCTTGGACTACAACTTCCAGAAGCCTTCACCCCTAGCTATGGTGGCCAGGGTTTCTGGGAATTGTAGTCCAAGAGCATCAGAGTTACCCTAGTTTGGGAACCACAAATCCAGAGCACAGGAAGCTGTCTTTACCGGATGCCGGACGTCCGTAATGAGTAGCACAATGTCTGACATCTCCAGCACACGCCACAGCTGCCTCCAGGTCTGTAAGAAAAATAAGACATTGAAAAAAAATGCAATTTTTCGTCTCCCATTGAATCCATCAGGCACTAAATCCCACCACATATGGTTAGATGTTGGAGAAGTTTTTTTTTAAATCCCCTAGCAAACATGGAGAGTGGCTGAGGACCTCTGAGTGATATAATCCAAAAAAAATTTGTTTCCACACTCTTGATTTAATATCTCTTTGAACTTGAACTGGTGGTTTTTGTTGTTGTTGTTGTTGTTTTGGTTGATAGCCACAAGCCGGCTGAGATGAAATTCAGAGTCAGCTCTGGTGTCCCATCAATTTCAATTTCCAAGTAATTTGGAGCTTCTTTGGAGAAGATTCAAAAAAACCATGCTTGTTCGAGTATTCTGTGCCATCAAGTTGGAGCCGACTCATAGCAGCCATCTTAGAGCATTCTAAGGAGTGCTTTCAACAGTTCCACTCTCCCAGTGAGCTTCCATGGCCAAGTGGGGATTCAAACCCTGGTTCTCCAGAGTCCTAGTCTGTCCACTACACCATACAGGGTACCACAAAATCTGTACTAAAAACTCAGATCATCACTGATCAAAACTAGAGGGCACAGGAAGTAATCTAAAAATGGCATGCTACTCAATGAGTGTGAACATTTTAAATATGGATGTAACATTAAAGGAAGTTGGAGTCAATCATGTCTTTCCAGTTCATGTCATCTCTCCAATCCATATTACTACATGGTTGTTGTGGGTTTTTCGGGATCTCTGGCCATGTGCTGAAGGTTGTTCTTCCTAAAGTTTTGCCAGTCTCTGTGGCCATGGGCATCTTCAGAGGACAGCACTCTGTGCTCTGGTGTACACACTAATCACCCATCTACAGAAAAAGACGAAAGCCTATCTCACAGCCATACGTAAATACTGCACTCCCAAGCCAACTACACCAGAACACAGAGTGCTGTCCTCTGAAGATGCCGGCCACAGAGACTGGCAAAACGTTAGGAAGAACAACCTTCAGAACACGGCCAGGGAGCCCGAAAAACCCACAACAACAATTAGATCCTGGCCGTGAAAGCCTTCGCGAATACACCATATTACTACAGTTTTGCACTCTTCTATAAAGTTGAGTTTTGTTGTTGTTGTTTAGTCATTAAGTCGTGTCTGACTCTTCGTGACCCCATGGACCAGAACATGCCAGGCCTTCCTGTCTTCCACTGCCTCCCGGAGTTGGGCCAAATTCATTCTGGTAGCTTCAATGACACTGTCCAAACATCTCATCCTCTGTCGTCCCCTTCTCCTCTTGCCTTCACATTTTCCCAACATCAGGGTCTTTTCGGGGAGTCTTCTCTTCTCATGAGATGCCCAAAGTACTGGAGCTTCAGCTTCAAGATCTGTCCTTCCAGTGAGTTTAAAGTTGAGTTTACTAAGTAGGAAAGGCACAAAGCAGCTTTTCCAATTTACTACTGCTTAGATGGGTTGGGCTACAACTCTCATCACCCCAGCTGGCACAATTACACAATGTCTGGGGATCTGAAGTCTAGCACATCTGGCAGGAATCAGGTAAGTGAAAGCTGGCATGCTGTGTAAAATAAATTACAGAGGAAACAGAAGATAAATTCTCAACCAGCCTTAAAAGTTATGTTACTAAGAAGAGAAGTTACTGTTTATCTCCCCTTGCCTTCCCCACTGGCACCCAGTGCTTGCTTCCCAAATAGCTAAGTCCTCAAATCATCATCACCATCATCATCATAGTGTAATAGAACTACAGAGCTAGAAGGGACCCTATCCATCCTCCTCATCATAGTGTAATAGAATTTCAGAGCTAGAAAGGACCCTATGGATCATCGAGTCCAGTCCCTGTCAGGGAGGCACCGTGGGGAATTAAACACCCATCTTCTGGCTCCACAGCTGGCTATCTAAACCACTGAAAAACCAAAACATGTTGAGAAAAAGCAATCTGCTATATCCGTTATTTGAGCTTATTTTTACACTTGAGACTGTGGGGTAAAAGGTGGATTAAAATTTCACAGATGTAAAGAGTACCACCCTGCCTGGATTCCAAACTTTCCCTGAAAGCATTGATAGGCTCACCTCCAGATTATGCTCAAAGTAACTCAGCTGACTTGGCTGGAAAGTACTGTAGATGTTCTCTAAGTACTCCCGGAAACACTTCTCCTCTCGTGCCAGCAGCTGGTCCTTGGTCATCTCATAGCTCCAAGGAGGACGTTTAGGAAAATCCAATACTGATTTAAGAAGAGAAAGATAAAAGACAAAATGAGGAATACAGACAACATCCTGACTCACGTTCAAGCGAAACCTAGGACAATGCTGTGTGCATTAAGAATTCCCCTGGATATTTCTACTGATCATGGTAGGAAGCTAGCTTAATGTGAACCAATGATCCCCTCCCTCTGGTAGAATACCACAAAGGGGCACAGTGATATCCTGATGTCAAGAGTGTAGCCACATGCTCAGTCAACACCTAAACCCTGAGTGTAGTGACAGCCGGAGCGTTTTCAGGTGGAATTTTAGACCAGGAGTTGCCTCCAGTCCTTCCTTCTTCTCCTCCCATGGCAAAGGTCAAGTGGGGACTGAAGCTGGATGAACCTAGCTAATGCTTTGGGGGCTGATTTGAGTCTTGAAGTTAGGACTCATCCTGTTCCCTAGACACTGGTTTTCTCATTTCCCTCAGAAGAAGAGATGGGACAGAGTCAGAGAATTTCCATGACTTCACTCCTTCCCTCGCCTTCGCTTTGTGGGACAAGAGAAGCCGGACATGGCTGGCCATTGTTTGAAGAGCCAGCTTTGCCGTAACTTTGGGACTGAGCTCACTCTTAAAGGGCCAGCCAATGGTGCACTGCTGCCTCCTTATGAGGAAGATGCCTTGGGTCCTTTTTTTAAGGAGAAAGGTGGGGTAAAATATTATTTTTAAATAAATAAACAAAGCTAATGATGGAAGTAGGGATAAATCTCTTTTGCTCTCCTGCATGGAAAATTATGCCTGGGTGAATTCTGGGAGTGGACGTCCTGGAAATCCAGAAGTTCCATCCCTATAAGTCCTCAATTCAAATAGCGCCTCCAGTTGAACAAGACAAGATGGCGCCTCCAAAACCTTGAAGCTGGTGCCACATTCATGGCAAGGAATGACGGGAAACTGAAACAGTGGGAAGAACTCATCAGCATCACTAGGAAATAGAGCTTGTTTCCCCTAAACCAGCTTTACTCACCTGAGCCAGGCTTATAAACATCATCTATGTCCACTTCGGTCTCCTCTTCTGGCACTGGCTCCAAGATTTTCTCACGGGCAATCTTCTTCCTCCGCTCAATCTCCTCTTTACTCTCCCGCCCGAAGTGCAGTCGGTATCTGCCAGGCGGAAAAAGAAATGGCCGCAAGGCAGATCAGACTGAGGCAACAAGAGAGGAACTGTTGTTCGCGGAAACCTGTAATCTGGCCCGCCATTTCAGTTCTAGAGCCAGATAAGCCCGGCTTATTTTCCAGACAACTGTGGGTTGAGCTGATATTTGAATCCCAGTGGAAACAGAACATTACGCCTGTCCTTGAGTGTGTTGTATTACATTAAACAAGATGTTCAGACAACGGCTGATAAAGAGTACAGCCCGGGTTGAAGGGTTGCTATACGTGAACATGCGAGTCTTTTTTTAGACAAGCTCTGTATGAGTCATGGTATGTCTGCATAAAAACAACAAGCTGCAGAAAAGGCAGGAGTTCTTACTTTTTGTAGCCAGTCTAGTTTGAATGGAAATGGTGTTTTAACACTTCCACCATCACCACCCCAAAAAATATCCAGGAACACTTAAACATCTAAGCACACAATATATCTGGGAAACTGAGGCCTCTTCACACAACTGCTAGGTTTTGGTAGGCAGCCATTCGCCCATGACAGCCTTGCTACGTATAGCCCGAGAAGCATGTTGAGGATGTCCTCAGGTGGAAATCCAGACCAAATTTAGTCACCCACCCACCCTTAAAACCTGTTAATACCTGGCGGTATTGACGGGGGAAGGGGTGTATGTGAAGCCGATGTCACTATATGTATTCACACAAGTCATGTGCCAGTATTTTGGAATGAATGGAAAGTATGTAGCTTGGGATAAAGCATTCCATGAAACTCCAGCCAAAGACTAGAAGGAATTGGCCACAAAACTCCCAGACAGGTTTTATCCTCCTTCAGGGCATCATCCCTTATCTTACACAGACCCCTGATGATCCATCCACCCTGGCAAACAGGGTAAAGCCTCTCGGACCCAGAGCATGTCATTAAGACCCAGATACGCTCTTGCATTGCAACAGATCTCTACTTGATGGGCAGGATTTTTAAAAAGGACCTTTGCCCTTTCAGCTGTCAATCTAGTTTAGACTGGTCCAAGACACACAGAGGCTTGGATCTTCCAGGTCCTTATAATACTCTGCCACAGTGGGTCAAAGGAACAAAGACAAATTGGATGTGATTCCAGCTTCCAAATCCCTGCTTCGCTTGCCCTAGACTGTCAGGCCAGGCCGATGACTCAAGGCTTACACTTGTTTTTCCCAGTTGTACAAGGGAAGTGGAACCTAGCAGTTAGAGAATGGAAGCAACAGGATTAACACCTGGATTTTATTCCTATGGAACACCAGCGGCAAGAGAAATGGTCAGGTCAAGAAACAGTAAGCAAAATTCTCAGAGCAGAGACTTTCTGTTCTCACCTACATGCTAATCCAGGTGTTCAAATCAACAAAAGCTAAATGGTGTTACATATTCCCTGCAGGATGATACTGGCATACTCATCATACATGCTCTACACACAAGGGTGTTAGCCTCATAGAAGGACGATTTATGTGTGGCCATTAATCATCCTTTTCTGCAGACAAAGGGACCATGGGGAGTGCTATAGTATTACTGAAGTAACAGTCACAAGATGAATATAGGTTTTAAGGCCATGATTTTAATGCTAATAAATTAATATTATTTGTTTTAAACTGTTTACATTTTTAGTTGTTTTAGATTTTATGATTTTAAATTGCTCTGTAACCTGCCCTGAGATTTTGCAATACAGGTAGGGCTACAAATGCCATACATACATACATACATACATACATACATACATACATACATACATACATACATACATACATACATACATACACACACACACACACACACACACACACACACACACACACACATACGGAAGTGTGTTGCCATGCATTCTTGGTTTATATCCCCTCTTATTATGGATCACAGGAGAATCAAAGCACTAAGGGCTTTTAAAAGTCATTATCCTGTGTATAAAAATATTTCTGTGATCACACAACACTGCGTAGAAGCCAGACCATACCAATCACCATCCCAAAGTTAAGTCTGTAGTTTTAGCATAAAATGGAATCTATAAGAGCAATCCATCCAGATGGAGGAAAGTACAAGGAAGAGTGACAATGGCTGTTTCACAAATCAGTTATCCCACCCAAGTTACAGTGGCTCATCACTGAAGGAGGGAGGGAGGGAAGGAAGATAGAAAGAAAGAAGAAAGAAGACAGACAGAGAGAGAGAGAGAGAGAATAGGAATATATGAGTGTGAGAGACAAAGAGATGCCAAATAATAAATAAGTGAATGGGGGGGGAGGGGGAACAAAGTCAAATAATTACAGATCAGTTGATTATGGATGTTCAGTCTTTTCAAAACAAGCTAACTTTGTGCATTATACTCTGGCAATAAACAGTGACAAGAAGATCTGAATAATCCTATGGCTCTTCTCGGCTCTTGCTCCAGGTTTGAGGAAGGCTTCATCCAGGGATGGTTGAGAATTTTGTTTGAATAAAAAGAAGTGAATATGTTTCTTTAGAAATGATTGAAACTGAGCATTACAGAGACCTTGGCTTTTGAAAGTCTGAGTTTAAATCTCATCAATGTAAACTTAAAGGTTATTATATAATTATTGCACCACTGTGTCTTAAAAGATGGGCATGGATATTTTACTGTGTGAACTCTGTATTTCACCTCGTATGTCTGAAGAAACGGACTTGTCCACCAAAACTCACATTAAAATATAACAGTCTTTAAGGTGCCACAAGGTTTAAATCTTTGTGTATTCAACTGCTAAACTAGTCCGTCATCTCTCTCGCCCCAGAGGCTCCTCATTTTTTATATCTGTTCAGCCAAAAGGCACAGCATAATCATCTACAGGCTGATAACAACTCTGCCTTTTGCATTTGGCCCCTATAAATGAAGAATTTACTTCAGTTTGTTTTCCATATTCGAAGCTGTGGCTAGCATTCACTGAAAGCAGGGATGAAAGCAGGACAGCAGATTCAATTCTTACTAGCCCGGATATTCAACATTAGGTGGGCAGAAGCCGTAACGAATCCAAATCTCTCCCGGTCTATGGGTGTTAAATACTGAGGGGTACCTTTGCTCTGGCCTAACTTGGTGCTATAATTCTGACTGTGCCCCCTGGACTAAAGGAGGCTTCTCCTCTTTCTCTCTCTACTTTTAGCTTTCTGTCAGCAGATCACAAGTGGATCACACTGTTAGACAGTGATCATCAGAGGAGGGTTTGGATGGCAGCTCAAGATATCTGCTGGCAGAAGGGGCTTGTGAGCAGTCCTCATCTCCTAAGGCTCATGGCACATCTTTAACCAGAGCCCAGTCTGCACTCCAAGCACTCAGTTTCTGCCTAAGAATACAGTAATGCCTGCCACCATCAGGCCTGTTTGAATGCATACACGTCCCAGATGGTAAATATGGTGAATTTTCACATAACCAGTGGAAGTCCACACTTTGGTCTATTCATTCCTCTGTAACTCATAAACACACAAAGGGCAAACACATCAGCCTGTCTTACAGTGATTTTCAAAACCGTCATCTGACCAAATCATTTTAGGGTTCCTTGAAATTACATTGGAGCTCCATGTCTCTTTATTCAGATCCCTGAGTAAGATATTTTAGCTTCATAAACCCTTCCAATCATAATAAGAGACTCTTCTGTACCTTCTATGGCTGGCACCTAGACATGCTGCCAGGCTGGACGAGGGACCAACCCCAGCACGAGGGAGTTTTTGCCGGTAATTCTGGGAGAAGTCTTGTTGTTGCTAATCCTCAATGAGGTTGGACCTCTACCAAAAGAACAAGTAATCTGATGGCACTCTTACATCCAAATTTGTTGCTGGAGATCCTCAGCAGATCAGAGTGTCTTTTGCTAACTTCATGCAGTGCACCAACCATGGTAGCACCTGGTCAGGAAAAGCCTGCCCACAGTGGTGCAAGTGCTGGTTCCTTCAAGGCGGGATTACTTTAACGTGCTCTAGGTGCTGATTTAGAAGTTGCAGCTATTATAGAGCATGGCTCCGTGGCTGCTCTATGCTGGCTACCTACAGTGGTGCCTCAAAAGACGAGCGCCCTGTTTAACGACGAAATATTATAGAGCATGGCTCCGTGAGTGCTCTATGCTGGCTACCTACAGTGGTGTCTCGAAAGACGAGCGCCCTGTTTAACGACGAAATCGCATCACGATGAACTTTTTGCGATCGCAAAAGCGATCGCTTTACGATGTTTTAAATGGGTTTTTTTTTTGCTTTGCGATGATCGGTTCCCTGCTTCGGGAACCGATTCTCGCTCAATGCCGATTTTCGGCCAGCTGATCAGCTGTTTCAAAATGGCCACCGGGTAAAAAAAATGGTTCCCCACTCTTTTCTGGGACAGATTCCTCGCTGAACGGGCAGCGAAAATGGCCGCCCTATGGAGGATCTTCACTGGACTGTGAGTTTCAAGCCCACAGGAACACATTAATCAGGTTTTAATGCGTTTCTATGGGCTTTTTTATTTCGCATTACGATGTTTTCGTTCTACAGCGATTTCGCTGGAACGAATTAACGTCGTAATGCGAGGCACCACTGTATTTGCTACTGGGCCATATTTACAGCTTTGGTACTAATGTACCAAAGGACTAGGATCTAGAAGTATACCCTATCTCAGGGGTGGGCAATTAATTTCTATAGGGGGGGCCATATGAAAAATCTGAACTGTGTTCAAGGGCCAAGCCAACTTTACTTGTTATGATTGTTTTTGTCTTAAACTTGTTAATCTTCACAAACATTAAAGAGGTTTTTTGTGGTATGTTAAAGATAAGCAACTGATCAACTTTAGACAAAAAGCTATAAATGGTTTTGATGTTCAACTTCTTCAGTGAGAGAAATCCAGTCTGTCTTGGGCTTGAAAAAGTGCTTGAACACAGGACTTGAGCGACGATCACCAGGCCGGACAGGAGCAGCTTGCGGGCCATATGTAGCCCTTGGGCCACACTTTGCCCAGGTCTGTCCTATCTGAAACCACCAGGAAAGGAAACTTCGGCGGCACCAACTCCCACCCTATGAAATGCTCCTCCAACCTGAGGATAGAAATGTCCTTCAGCTAGCAAAATACCCTTCCATTGAGATTATATTTGTCTGCTTTGAACCTCTGCTGAAGATCTCTTTTCCAGCAAAAATTTCCCAAAAAATAAGTACTATTGTTGTTTTACTGAACAATCTGTGTTTACTGCAACTTTGACCATTCACTTGATTTTTTTTTCCAATTTATATACCATCCCATTGGTGTGCTGCTCTACCCTGGGCAGTTAACAGACAATGAAACAATAAATAATAACTTGTTTTAATTCACTGCACATCATTCCAAAAGCTCATGTATGGAAAACTCTATAAATTATAAATTTAAAAAGTTATCATTTTATAAATTTCTTGACCGAAAAGCTAGGAGGTAGGAAATTCAGAAGACAATATTTCCTGCATAGAGAAATTAAGAAATTTACTCAGATTCACACAAAGAAAGAAGGATTTAAAAATGCCTCAGTGCTTCAGGCAGAGACATGGCTACATCTCCCGATGCTTCCTGGCACATGGAGAAATGAAGGGTGTACGTGAAGAGGAATCTATTTATTTATTTATTCTATTTATACCTTGCCTATCTGGTCATTGCGACCACTCTAGGCGGCTTACAACATACAATACAACACAAATATAAGAAATCTGCTCAATTTAACTCGCAAACCTTATCTTAGATAGTTTCCAGTCTCCAGAACAGAGAGGTTTCTTTCATTACCTGTTGGGATCATAACCCTGTTCTCCCGGCTTGCGGACCTGAGGCTGTTGGTTGAGCTTGCGGACCTGTAGGGAGAACGATTCACTGTCTGACGTGTCCGTGTGTTCCTCACGCCTGTCATGGCTGCCGCTTCGGCTGTTTGAACTTGACCTCACGCCATCTTGGAAGCCTGAGGGGCCAAGCAGAGGGGAAACAGTCAGAGCTTCATTTTAACCATTTCAGAAAGATGGAAAGCTGAGTCAACCTTGAGTCGGCTACCTGAACCCATCAAGATCTAATTCAAGTTGTGAGCTTGACTACAGTACTGCAGTTTAACCATTGCGCCATGGGGCTCAGTTTTTCAACTCTCATTCGCTGAACACCAGATTTCATGATAGCATTTGACATCTGTGGTGGAATGGCCACGTCACTCCTGTCCATCATATGGAGCTCAAGTGCAGGAGCCTATGATAGGACAGGAGGGGCAGAGTTAAGAGTGACAAAGAATTAGAGAGAAAGGGAGAGAGATAGGGCATGGAAGTGAGAGAGTCAAGACTGAGATTGGAAAGCTGGAGTGTTATAGAGAATAGGAAAGAGCTAAAAGGAATAGAGAATAGGTAGATATCAAAGAATATTGTTAAAGTAGTTATTGTGAATAAAAGCATATACAAGCAAACGTGTAATCAAATCCAATTGAATGGATGTTCCTCAACAACTGTGATTTACATGCCAACCAAAAGATCAATAAACTTGTATTGCAATGCAGCACGTGTCTGAGATATACAGTATTTGGTATAGTGTGGACTAGATCCACTGGCGACAGCATAAAAAGAGGAAACGCATCCAGAGGGTGGACCTGTGTTTGGGGGGAACAAACAAGGGGCACTAGGGGGACTCGACAACATCCTTTGAGTACACGTGAGGGCCTCAGCACCTTGGCAGAGGCCAGGATCACAACCACTGCCTGTCCTTAAAACACTTCCAACCAGGAGCTCCAGGCCACAGGTAGATGGACACCTCTTTTAATTCTCCACAATATCCATCCTATTGTCAGTTCGAAGCATTGTGAGAAAATTAAACAGTAGCTAGGTCCAGCTATCCAGTTTTGTGCGGAGCACGGCCACCTTGGCCGAAGAAGCCCAGAAGTCACCATTAAAAGAGGAGGCAGTTCTTGAGAGGGCTGGAGTCGTCATATTTGTAGCCAGACCTGAAGATCACTGGGTGGGGTGGGGGGCACCACATGTGGCCTGCTTTTTCACACACTCCTGGTTTAGCATGACATCTGACGATGCTTTGAGAAATCAGAACTGAGTTACCCGCACTCTGTGTGTCTCCAGAGCTGGAAGCAGCAGCACTGGTATTCAGAAATATAAGACCCCTGTTCAAATTCTGGATGGACCTGAAGGCACTTTTATATGAAGGAAAGGGGAAACAGCTGCCAGGCAGGCCTGTAAGAACATAACGGGGCCTCATGGTTTAAAGTGGAGCAAAAAACTGGCATCCGGAAAGTCTTAGATGCTGCCCACATTTCTGGCTGCGGTGCGGGCGTGTGACCATTCAAAGCCGGGAGGGGCATGAAAGCCAGAGAGAGAGAGAAAAAAAGAGGGGGAAACCGAGCAAAAGCTGTTCCAGAATTCAATGCTTTGCAGAGAGTGGGGCCTCTTAGAGGGGCAAATTTTGTCTGAAAGAGAAAAAGGAAGGTCAAAATCTTGAGTAAAGAAGGGAGAGAGGAGGGCTGCCCGGACGTCACAGGTTGGATCTAGTCTTTGCAACAGTTCTGCTGTTTAACCTTGGAAAGAAGTCCCCTCAACAGGGAGAGGAAAGAGTTGCAACAGGAATTTAGTGATGTTGTTTGGAGGGGATTTTGACACAACAGAAGGGAGAGAAGGGGCTCCACAGCAGGACTGGATGACTCACCCAAAAGGGTGAGGCCAACTTATTATCAGCTGCTCCCAGCCTCCACCTCACTACCGTGGCCAGCAGGGCCGAGGGGTGTTTGTGAGAGATGAGTGCAGAGACCACACACATAGAGAGAGGCTGGTTTTTCAGACAATGGAGACCCCAGTGCACAAATGTTAAACACTTGCCTTTAAATGCAACTATGGGAGCGTGCCTCGACCATCACACTATATTCTGCACGATTAAAGGTGTGGCTCTTTTTGATCTGCAACACCTATTCTGGGCATTATTCTCTGAAAGAGGACCTTTTCGAAACTCTGACACCTGGAAGGACAACATCCCTAGAGTTCAGATGGGCCTATTTCCAACACACACATACACACACACACACACACACACACACGCACACGCACACACACAGAGAGAGAGAGAGAGAGAGAGAGAGAGAGAGAGAGAGAGAAATAAAAACACTGTAAGATATCTACTGATTTTTTTACATTGGCCTGCTTTTTTCCACAGCCAATATTAATTGGGATTTAAAAAAGATTTTCCATAGTATTCTGCCAATAAAGCAAACTTCTATCATCACACCCTTGCTTCATTCTGACATATTTTACTTCTCCAGCTAATCCTGGAAGTTAATATGAGATACGAAATCTTTCACTCAAATTTTATTCTGTCCATCATCACTAAAGTGTTTGATTCAACAGCCAGAAATAATGAGAAGACTGCTGTTCCTTATCTGCAACTGACTGATTGATTGATTGGGATATACCACTCCTTTAGTGTAATGGTCTCTAGACCATTTACAGATTAAACCTTAAAATCCCACAAGACCCCACAAGGCAATACATTCAACACTATGGCGATTCATAGATATAGCTCTAAAATGCATATACTGTACTGTATAAAAGACAAGAACAAGAAAGAAAAGAAATTTAAAAATTAATATTAATAGTATCCAAAGGATCAGTTATGTATTGAAGGCAACTTTGTATAATGCTGTTGTCACCAATTTACTGAACATCAGGAAGAAAGGAGTCTGGTGCGTCTCAGTTGGTAGCCTGTTATTGCAAATCTGTTTCTTAGATTCATCATGAATGTTGTTTGAATTGTATTTTGGCGCTACAATTCTTTTAGTGTTGTTTTTCAGCTTTACTCTAATAATAGATATTAACATTTCATGACCAAACTACCCCTGGTCTTGTTTTGGCTGAGAGAAAACAGCTTCTCCATCTCCTGCTCCCAATTATATAATCTATTTGACTTCTATATCGGCTATCTGCTAATTCTAGCTACTAGAGGTCATAATGGGAGAAGACAGCAGTTCTTGAGATATCCTGGTTCTAAACCATGGAATTGGTCATTACCAGTAGTTAGAGTTAGACCAAGAAATAAACCTAAAGCGAGCATGCTGTTTGTTTGTTGGCCCATTAAAGGATTAAACATAGA